CCCTCCCCCCCCCCCCCCCCGCCCCCGGGGCCACTTCTCTTATGAATAAGTTGGTTTAAGCCACCAATGGGCAGAGATTACAGTAAAGTCAGAATAAAGAATGAGTCAAGCCACATCCTTTTCTGTCATGTTTTCTCTTCTTTCCTTTATAAAAAATACTCTCTCTCCTTTGCACAAGAGAACATTAAGAGAGGAAGATTTGGTCGTTGCAAGAGATTCTTGCAGAGGCTTTTTACATTAAACCAAGAATTATGTAAGAAAAGAATTAGGCCTAATCCTGCTTTACCAATCTCAGCTCAATTAGTCCCCACTAAGTAAAGTGAGGGGGATGGCTGAAGGGGAAGATCATTTTAGTGGTGGCACCCCAGAGAGGTTCATTTGGCAACTTCTTAACAATGGCTTTGGCTTTGTGGCCAGGTCTCATAAAATCTCTGACTTTTGTAACAAAGCCACTATTTATTTGTTATAACATATAGTTTTAGCCATGAAGTGAAACTGGCTTTATCTCTTCCAGTATTGACAATTATTTCTGCTGCAATTTCTTGTTTTATGTCATTTTATGATTATTCCTTATGAGAACAAAGTTATTAGGCAACCTATATAAATTCTGAAAATGAATAAAGAATACTATAATGATTTATTTTATTCTAACTTGAATTCCACTCTCAAATTATATTGTATCACATTTGCTCCTGTTCTTTGGCCTTGTAGTAAGTTTTAATTGCTCCCTGTTATTTGGTTCATCAGCCAGGAACTTGAGTGAGTGAGGGTTTAATTTATAAATGTAATAAAACAATTAATTCATAATTTAGCTGTACTGACTCCAGTGGAGCAAATTGATTATGAGAATAAATGTTTACTAAATGCTTACTAAATTAAACTGGGTTCAGCTCACTACATATCCTACACATACCCACAAAACAAAAAATATTTTCAGTGGGCCAACCCTTCACTGCATTTTCACTGTTAGATACTAATTAACGGTATGATCTTACTGAAACTTTCACTAACCTTGCATGTCAGCTCATCAGTCAAGTACTGTCAATTGACTGGTCAATAGAGGGTCTATTATTTGTTCACTGTCAAATATTGCCAAATATTCCATGAAACTATTAATGTCATGAGCAAAGGGCTAATAGTATATCTTTTATTTCTTTCAGGTTTAATTTCTTAGTGGGTCATTTTTTATTCTCTTAGCTTTGCAACAGTCAACTGATATCATTATGAGTGAAAAGTCATTGTAGAAGCATTTTTGCTGATAATGTTTGAAGAATTGCTCTACTGCTTGGCAATTTGCTTTGTTTTTATTACTCACTATTAATTTATTTTCCTTTATCAGGTGGTTGCTGTGATTTATGACAGAAGCAAATACTAAAATTTTTCCTGAACTGTTCATATTTATAGTAGAGAGAACCTTCTCAAATTTGCTAAAAACTATAAGCTATTTATTACAATTTAAAATTATATTTGTTTTTAAATAACATTTAATAAATATTTTTGTAACTAGCATAAATATCAAACCTGTTGAAGATTTATGATACAATATCTTGTCCCTGGGAGATGTCCCCCAAACGATCTCTTCTTTGCAAGGATGGAGAAAGAGCTCCAACCTTACACTGTAAGAACAGACCTGCTGGACGAGGCTGAGGTCATCTTAGTCCAGCATGTTGTTTCTCAGATGCCTCTGGGGTCTTTGCAATGATAATGGATCTGGCTGTGGTCCACATCTGGATGGTGGTGAGATATTGTGTATGGTTGAGTCCATTTTTACATCAAAGTGGTGGGGTGAGCTGGGCATACTTGCTCTCAGTGTTCTTAAGACCTTGCACACCCAGAGGATAAGGTTGATGACAACAGAAATGGACTGGGAGATTGTTTGGAAGTCTCTCCTGTATCTTGTGGCTGTTGCAAAGCCTATCATACTGATAGCAGCCATTTTGTCTCCTGCCTTCTGCAGTGACACCTGAGAGGATTAGAGCATGGGTGATATTTATCATCTTTGGATCACTCTAGAGTTTTCCCTCTGTTCTAAATATAAGTGCAGACTTGAAAACTGTGAAAGGAGAGAACTTCGGAGGCTGAGGGGTTGCTACTGGCTGAGGTGTTTTTTCTACTCTAGGTGGGAGATGAAGGAGAATAAATAGCCTCAGCTTCTTCCCAGTATGGTATAGATAGAGTGTGTGTTCAGAGACTAGAAATATCATAAATATAAAATATGATAACAAATCCACCAAGGCAATCCAACAGTCATATCAGATGGAATCACAAATCCTCCTGACCCAATTCAGAATTAGAGATAGGAAATCTCCAGCTCCAGGTGGGCTCAGGTTTCACAGCCACTTAGCCAGCTAAGATTCAGCTTGAGCCTTTTCCTCCTCATCCAGACTGCCACAGTTTCCACAAACACAGCGCGAGAGTCTTAACAGCATCACTTGGATGACCAGGAGTTCAGATGTATAACTTGGCATCATCAGCATAAGAATGACACTTAGCCCATGCTGATGGATGACCTCATCTAGAGGCCTCATGTAGATATTAATGTACATTAATATCATTAATTAATATCAATGCCTCATGTAGAAGCCTCAGGTAACTATTAAAGAGGAGTGGGGAAAGAATCTAGTCCTGAGATATCCCACAAAACAAGGGTCAAAGGTTGGATCTCCCCCTGCCCCATCAACACTGATTCAACAGCTGATCTGTGATGTTCTTACTTCAGCTACCAAACAGCTAACTCCTGGACCCGTTGCAATAGTACCAACCATATCCAAAAGCCTCCTTTGCAGAGAACTGCTCTAAGCCAAATGCTCTACTAAGTTAAGAGGCACCAATCACTATAACCTCTGGCCCTAGTTTCCAGCATTCAGGAAAGTTGACAGCCAGCCATGGAACTTCTCCTTCAGCAATGACCCCATCTGGAACTAACCTTTGGGCTGAAACAGCCTGTTTGATCACCTACAAAAGCAACAACTTGGTGGGATTTAATTTTTAAGTTGTTTTGACCCATGCAGTTTATCCCAACCTTCTGACCCCCAGAGTTTCTCTGGCCCAGCCTTGAGTAGCAATGCAAAACTGAACATCTTCAGTGTATTGAGGAGATATCACCCCAAGCTAATGACTGACTTCCCCTGGCAGTTTTGTTGTCCCAGGAATGCTGGGTTTGTGCCTGGCGCACTATAGGCCAATGAATCACACACCAAGGGTGGAGATAAGAACTCTATTCTGCATAGAATAGGCACCTGGGGATTGTTCCTCAAAGCAGGCACAACCCCCTGATCAAATCCCAACAGCTTTTATACCTGTGGTCTCAAGCAAGCACTCAGACGCCAGAGCAACATGATGCTTTATGACTCTGTTTATCACTTTAGCTTGGTAGGTGTCTGTTATTGTGCAAACTTTCTCAAAGGGGTGGGGAAGGTCATAAAAGGTATTAAAATGGCTGAAAAGTACAAAATGGCTAAAATCTGGCTTATCAGTTTCATGTTTAATAACATGGGGGAAGGAACTGAACCCTGTAGTATCCCACACTGGGGTAACCAAGGGCTTAACCATTCCTCTTCCATGCACACCAGCCTGAACCACTCACCCAGGAAGGAATGGAACCACCATAATATGTTTTCCACATCCAACCCTCACAGGTGGTCCACTCAATACCATCGTCTCCATCTGCTGACCCTCTGCAGTAGGATTTCCCAAACTTTGAGGTGTTCCTCTCTTGGGGTGGTGCAGGAAGAGTCCAGGGGAGTTGTGAAGAACCTTTAAGTTACATTGTTACAATAAATTCACCTTTCCAAAAGATTCAGTGGATTGTTTTCATCATTCATTTGTGCTCATTTTGATGGTTGGAATTTTAGAGATTACACTAAAGGTGGTGTGATAGCAAAATGTTTAGGAACCCCTGCTCTACAGCATGAAAAGCCAACTACGCTTCAGCACCTGTTCCAGATTCACAACCTGCCCTGCCTCCCCCCCCACCAAAAAGTCCATGTTCCTCTGTGGAAGGCCAGACTACCTGAGCAGATTATAAACCCGTGCTCCTTCCTCCCCTCCCTTCTTGGCCCTCCCCCATCATCAGGACAACCCAGCTGCCAATCAAGCAGCAGCATTGGGTAGGAGGAGGGAAGACAAGATGGCTATATGGGACCTCTTCAGCCACAGGCCTCATGGAGGAGAGGATGAATAAACAGAGCCAAAGCCCAGGACTCAAAGTAAAGAGGAAACTTAAGGATGGACAGCCCACTGAGAAAAAGAGACAATGGGAAAGGAGCCAGCTGCTGAGAAAACTGGGGAGAGAGAAGTGTTCATTTCCTTCCCTCAGACTGGCATGAGGTACACATTCTTCTAGCCATTTCCCTCAGAAGGAACCAAGATTGGGAACAGGAGAAGAATCAAGAAGCCCAAGCAGGAACAAACAAGGAGAAAAGAGGAAGAAAAAGTAAATACTTGGACAGAACAGAAATAAAATGCAGAAACTCAAAAAGAAAAAAAAAGTTTTGTAAAAAATTAGTATAGCTGTATAGAGAGTGACCATAGAGATATACAGGGATTAAGATAACAGGAACATAGAGGTCAGCAATAAACAGATAAGAGATATAGCATAGAAAGATTTTAATTCAATTCAATTCAATTTATATGGCCGCCAATCTCATATACATGACTGGGCAGCTAACAATTAAAACAGAATAAAAACAACTAAAATTAGAAACAACAGAACATAAAATAATAGCTGAGAACACTCATAAATGTTATCATAGCCATTAAAAGGCAGAAGTGTCACATCCTTTTTCAGTATATCCATTCAGCTGTATAATGGCAGAAGTGGCATTAAATGGGCTCAGTGGTCTATCTGAGAAACATTGGCTTTTAATAACAAACTTATTTCAATTCCTCCCCTGATATTTTTGGATTGTTTGAGTGGCTACAAATTGGGGGACTCTTAAAAATTCAGCATTAAAGCACAATATGAAAATATACTGAAACTGGACTTTAAGGAACATAGTGTAGATAAAAAGCCTATAGATAGAACATACAAAATAGTTTTATTAATGAGATTAATTTCAGAACTAGTTGAAGGCATTTATAATTTACTTTTTTGGGGGGGTAAGCTTTCCTTTTGTAAAATAAGTTTACACCCCCCCCCATTGAAGGTTATACAAAAACACAACCATCCAAGTTTCCAGTGCTTTGTGTCTATTGGGTCTGGTCAGTCAGGTTACTGGTGGTTGAAATAAGAACCCGCAACTTCCTCCTGATGATATGTGGTTGAACCCAGGCAGCAGTCAATACATCCTCGAGGGAAGGGGGTGGTTCTGCCAGCTCTTAAAGGCATGGTGGTACCTCCCCACATTAAGAAGGCATCCCTGGATCCAGTAGTGTTCAAAAAATGTAATCCCATCTCCAACCTTCCCTTTTTAGCAAAATTTGTTGAGAAGATGTTTTGCAGCTTTAGAGGGCCCGGAAGAAACAGAACCTTTTTCAGTCAGGTTTGAGACCGGGATATTGTACTGATAGCGTTGATTGCAATCTCTGCCAGGATTGGATGGGGTGGTGCATCTCTTGCTCACTTAGTGGTTCTCCTCCAGGACCAGTTCCAGTGAATGTTGGGAGGGAGGGGAGAGATCTACTATATTTCTAGACTCCTTAGCTGTGAGGTCTGTCAGGGCTCTGTACTCTTTCCACTTCTATTTAACATCTACATGAAGCTGCTAGGTGAGGTTCCATCCATCAGCATGGAGTTAAATATAATCTGTATACTGATGATATTCACATCTCTATCTCTGGCCAACCAAGTTATGTTGTCATGGTTCTTTCCCAGTGTCTGGAGGATGTGGGGATCTGGATGGGGAAGAATAAGCTTCAGCTTAACCATAGAGTGGCCATGGCTATGAGGGCTCCTTGGATCTGGAGACTTTCCATTTTTAATTATGGGGATTCCACTCCCCCATACATAACCGGTGTGCAATGCGGACTCTGCTCCCATTTGAGAAACAGATGGCAGATGGGGTCTGCAGAGCTTCTGCACAAATCCATTTTGTGTGCCAGTTGTGCATATTTCTGGATCAGAAAGCCCGATTCACAGTCACTTTTTTCACTGCTGCTGCTGAGTTCACATCTTTATTGAGTTACAATATTATCACCCCAACATCTTTTTCCCAGTTAGTTACAGTCAGTTCAGACTCCATCAGAGTATGAAGTTTCAGGCTTTACTCCAAAGTGCGTCATTTTATGCTTAGCTTAAACTGAAACACCATTTGATCATTCACCCACTTCAGAGCACTTCTTCCCAACCCATAAGCACTGTAAAAACCGCTGCCAACCTTTAATTCCTTAAAGGTCTAAATAGGTACTGGATCTGTTCTTATGTGTGAATTGGAAAAAAAAAGACTCTTAAATTTGAAATACACATTGTAACATTTATTTCCTTTTAAAAACTGGGACACTTTCAGATAGAGTCCAAGACTACTGATTTGCTAAGTTGAAGCATGCATCATCTATAATTAGACTGTGCAGTGGAAAAATATTGCAATCTCTCTTCTGAATCATCTGGCATATCTCCATTCTAATATAGATTGGCTCTTCAAGCACAGACCCCTCAACAGTTCTTACATCAGGAACATGACAGAACTGTTTGATTGTTGGATTCCAAAGGCCAGGTAGAACACTTTAAACTAGAGGCATAATGTTTACCTCTGTCTCACTGTACAGAATCTAAATCGTAAGGACCTCCTCCTAAAAAAGCACCCTCCCCGTGTACATTCATCCATATTTTGTAGTACTACATTTTTGTTGCAGTATTTTAAAAGATTTTTTTCCTGAAATGATCCTTAAAAAAACCTCATTCATAAGCATTGTTTAAAAAAAAAAAGTTACAGTTGGCATGTAAAATACTATGGTTTGAGGAGTGTAGGGCTTCATACATTTTATGGCATTGTCACATAATGCTTTATATCTTATCCATTTGAAAGCTAAGTCCTGCTTTTTATTTAAAATATATGAAAAGAGGTAATCCAAAATTACACAATAAATACAGAACCTGCCATGTTATTCTATAATATACTATACATTCAAGTTAAGGGGTAAAAGTTTCAATTCCAGTTACACTTGAGATACAAGTGAACAATTCATCATAAACTGAGTGCTAAAAGTGCTACTTTTGCTTGCAGGAAAACATACAAATGCTGAAGCATTTCATTTTTTAAAAAACCACACATTCCTTCAATTAAAGAACCATATCATCTGTAATAAGAATATACATAAATCTGAATAAAGATTTACTATTTATACAGAGAGAAGGGCAGAGACTCTCTTTCTAAAAGGGACATATAGGAAAGTTTTTTGGGGCAAAGAGGGAATCTTAAAAAGCCACACATACAGCACAATGGCTATCACCATCAATTCCACTCACAAATATACCATTTTGTGAAACTCAAAAAATTTATGGATGAAACAGCTTAACAAAAAGAGCAAGAATGTTCAAAAAGCTAAGATGAGTTAATGATGTGCTCTGTGCATAAATCTGCTGATAGTAGCCCATGTACATTGTTCCCATTGTCTTCTGCCAAAGGGCTGGCTTCCTTAATCTGTAGCATTAATGGCTCCCTTTTAATCTGGCTGGGCTTTTGGTCTTCATGTGTTTTATCCAGAAAAGTACTCAAGCTGAGAGAAAACAAATAAGAGAATTAACGTGCTGTTCTTAACACGGGCATCCACAGAAGTGGGAGGAATGATAAAATATAGGGTCACGTCATCATGCAAATGCCTTATCTACTTTCATCAGATGTCAGGACACAAGTATGTAAGGGCATCATTTGACATCAGTTTGCTGCACCTGCTACTGGTTCCTAGTATGACTTGTATACAAACACAATGATGAGATAAAAAAAAAAGCCTGCTCCCTTTATGATATAAACATCCATCCATTCTAAACCAAAGTTGCCAACAACATGTGATAACATGCTATAGGTTCCAGTTTCTCCTATACCTTCAGTGCTACAAAAGAAAGAGCTCTCGGTACAAGAAGACATCCATAGCTGATGTTGTACACTTATCCTGATGTATCACAAGTTGGGCAAATCCCAAAGAATTTCAAAATCAGCCTCAGAACCAATAGTTTCATTAAAGTTCTGAGAAGAGATGATTGCATATATTCAGTCCAGAGTTGAATAACCTAGGATTTGAATTCTTAAAGCCAATTATTCTAACATGTCATATAGGAGAACAACTTTAACTGAATGAACATATTTTGCCATCTTTTGGAACATCTAACTCAAAGTTTTCCCAATTCAAAACACTTCTATTTTAGCTGATTAATTTTTATTGTTGTTGGAAAAGAAAGGGGGAAAAAAAAAACATACCTGCTCTCAAGAATATGCTGAGTTGTTTGATAAACATCTGAAAATTTGGGTACATTGAACAAGTGATTTGATTTCTTTTGGAGTGACCTGACATTTGTTAATGGGTTATCTGATTCCGAACCTGAAAGACAAACACTGTTTCTCAGAAAAGGCTCAGGCTTTCCCTAGAGAGGCTGGCACCTCTATGATTTTTTTTTTTAGTACCAGGGAAAAATCTGTATTTTTTTTTTAATTCTCCAAGGTATTTTAAAACTGTATTTACAGTTATTAAATCTTCAATGAGTTACTGCTAGTTTTACTATAATTTTATGTGTCCTATTTGTCATTGCTAGTATTATTACTGCTGATGTTATAAAAATTGTTTTCCTGTGTTGCTTTTTATATCACCTAATTGTATATAATGTCTTTTTAATGAATTTTTATAGCCTCCAGAGAAATGTGATTGTTGGGAAGTTTACAACAGAAATCAACATAACACAGTTAAGTCCACTCTTTTTTTTTCTTCAATCTGCTTTTAGAGACAGATTTCCAAGCTGACATATTTTTAATTTTTTTAAAAAATTACAAATCTTTGAAAACTCATTTGGTCAGACTGAGAAAAGATACTTACTTTACGCTTTAAACAGTGGCCAAGAGTCCCCCTTTTTGGGGGATCCCCCCTGTTTATTTGCTTATAAAGCTGAAGCTAGTGGTACGGTCATATGGCCATTCCAGGAAGCATAAGAAAAGCATCTCTCCCTTCAAAGGGCCTATTATTACTTTAAGCAGAGAAACCTCTTTATTATTTTTTTTAAAGAGAGAAATCATCATCTTATGAAACTTACAAAATAAGTGTAATTCTGTTCATCTTGGCCACTGATTTTCCCCTATGCTATCACCAACCACCCTGGGAAAGGGGAGAACATAAACAGGAATGTGTTTTGGCTGATATCCAGCCAGCGTAGGATACTCAGGAATCAAAATACCCAAACAATCCACCTGAATTCGAGGTAAAATTAATTTAAGCCCATACTTTAGAAGTACAACAGAGGAAGGTAAAATAAACAAATGAACGAAATACATGTATTGAAAAGATAAAGAAGAACTAGGAAAAGCACCTGCCATTAGCACTATGCTGTTTGTTCACAGTGCTGGACAAGTGTAGTGCAAGAGAAACTGTAGCTTAGAACTGTAAGCAGTAAAACCCAGAGAGCAGTAAAGATATTCAGCTGGGAATAGAAGGGAAACAGAACTCATCAAGGACATGTAACATATTTCTCAACTAATCTCCCCACCTCCTTTCTGGATGGGGGTCACAGATAAAAAAAAAAACAAAACCCCAAAGACTGAGGAAGTAATCTTCATTTGCCAAAACTGAGCTTTCTGCAAACCTGGCATGTGTTATGCATATTCACAAAAAATGCAGCAAGTCAAGTTTCAGACTGCTGACTTTACTAGAATATGACATACAAGTTTCAAAAACTAGTCCTGGTAACTTCCCCATGCTGTCCATACCATGGGCTCATATTTTGCTCTGCTTAAAATGGTTGGCAATGTTTACATGTCAGCAATTAAAAAGACATACCTTCCAAACCTCATCCATGGTTTAGCAACATTCAGCAAAAGCCTTCAAATGCTGGATGACGCTACCGCTAATTAGTTTACCTAATCCTAAATTAGCCTACTGTAAGCCTTATCACTCTCTGTGTAGTCAGCCAGAAATAGCACGCATCCTCTAGTTCAGCAGTTCTCAGTCTGGGGCCATATGGCCCCCTTGGAGTCCTAGGATATTTCAAGGGGGCCACAGGTGAAAAATATGTAATGGGGGGCCATGGCATGTGCCAAGGAGGCCACAGAAAAGCAAAGTGTATTATACTGCAAATACTGTTGTTATTATAAATAAAACATATATTCTAGTTACAAACCAAGTATGTAAGTGGCAATCTTATTCACCAGTAATGGGATCTGGACAGGGAGGCTACAAGAGAAAAACAAGGTTTGAAGGAAGCCATGGGCAAAAAAAGGTTGAGAAACACTGCTCTGGTTGAGATTCTATACATTGCCCAACAATATCTAGATCGTTTGGAAGCTATAGGAGCCAATGTAACTACATAGTAATATATTCCCTGCCTTTTTCTGATTAAACCTGGGTGTGCAAACATAGTCTTTAAAGCTGCTGTAGTTATTAGACAGCAACTGAATATATGTACAAGCCTTTAGGAATTTTGGAGGTGGTGTGTGTACTTAAGGAGGAAATACCTGAAAGAGTACTCAAGGATGCCTTTGTGGCTATAGCAGAAATCTGCTCTATAAAAACAAAAACTAATAGTAGTCATGTATGCCTATGGATTATACCTCTCTGCTTATAACAAGGGATGTGCCAAATTTGTGGAAAGATGGATGTCTGGCCTTGAAACACCATATCTGAAATATATCAGATCACTTCTTGTTTGCAGGACTTATTTTCAGAAACCCCTGAACTGCCCCAACAAATTACATATAGTTATCTGGAACATTCAATTTCACATCAACCAATTTTGGACACCCCAAATGTGGTGCTAAGCAGAACAAAATAAAATCCATTTACCACAATTACATATTTGGCCTCAACTGTAAACATATAGAATGAATTAACTATCCATTTACCACAATTACATATTTGGCCTCAACTGTAAACATACAGAATAAAATTAACTATCACCTTCACAGACCAAAATGAAACAAATCATAACTCTCTGAGAAGTATCATACTTTTTTTTTTTTTTTTGGCTGGCTAGATGATCAGCATGATCCATTAAATAATATGAAACAGATTGGCTGGTTTCTGCCATTAATGCTAGAAGCAAAAGTAGCAATCCGGTTTCCACTAGCCACTAATCATTACATTGGATGAGTAGCTGAGACCAGAATGCCTGTTTCTCACTGCTGTTGGCATAGGAAACCAGCTCTTTTGTTTAGACTAGGAGTAGAAAAAGGAGATCATCCATTGCATTTCTCCCCCCAAGTCATCCTGCTCAAGATCACTAGAAGAATAAGTTGGCATGCATCTGTGTGTAGCCTCAGCCTTCTAATAGGTCACCACTAGTGATTTATACCAACAAACAAGACATCAAGAAAAAATCAAACTTGATAAAACTTATATCAAAGTCTTACTTCCCAAGAAAGCATTCTGAGCTTTCATCCGGTCAGCCTTATTTTGATCAGAAGTCATATTTAAGAACTGTTGCTTCAGCCAAACTCCACGATCTTCCTCAAATGCTTTCCTCTACACCAAGAGAAAATACAAAATTACAGGGAGTTTAATGTATGTTTGCTCACTTCAAAAATAATGCATTATTCTGTATTTGTAGTGTATCAGTTATTTATTTATTTATTTGATTTATACTCCACCTTTCTAGTTTGGTGACCAAAGTAGCTAATAAAACTTATAACAAAAACAGAATATAAAATGTTAAAAACAAAGATTAATACTAGATTTGATACTAGAATCATTTAACAATTGTAAGCCTAGCAAAACTGATGAGTTTTACAAACGTTCTAAATACTGTTAAGAGGATAGGCCAAACCCTAGTCTATGCATTCTATATCCTTGGAGCAACACAAGAAAAGATCCTCTCCTGCATACAGGAAGATGGACCTCTGATAGCTGTGGCATCTTCAAAAGGGCCTCTCCTTAACAATTAAACCAATTTGTAATGACATAAGTAGTCCCTTAGGTCTGAAGTTATTTACGGCTTTGAAGGGCAATATCAACACCTCAAATTATGCCTGGTAAATGTCTGGTAAACAGGGCAGATCTTTTAGTAGATACCATGCAATTTAGTTGCTACATTTACATCAACTGAAACCTTTGGACCACTTTCAAGAAGTAGCCCCCATACAGAGAACATGCAGTAGTCAAGAAGGGATAAACACCAAGCACAGATAACTGTTGTCAGATTTAACCAGCTCCAGAGGGGAACAGCTGACACACTAGCCAAAATTACACAACTGCACTCCTCTTCACAGTTGCTATGCATGAATCCAGTGGTAGCTAAAGATCAGGAAGGACTCCCAAAATGGGAACCTGCTCCTTCAGGGGAGTGCAATTTCATGCAACTAGTTAAGAATATGAGAAATTAATCCTGAAGAATAGAGAACTGTGATGACATTGGTTATAAACTGCACTTGAGTTATATGGCTGAAAATGAAGAGTGGTTTAGACCTTTCAAAGCAGCCTTCCATCTGGTGAGAATGGGACATTCCATCTTTTAAGTAAAAAAAGAGATACCTACTGAGAAACTGCATCCAGCCATAGCTCCAAGGCACATGGCCCTATACGTAGTTATAAACACTCCTCCTTTTGAACATTTCAATGATCCATATGTGAAACATGGATAGAGTAAAAACAAAGCCTATTGTATTTATTGGCATGATTCTTGCTCATCTGGCTGCCTAAGAAATTATTAATCTTCAGTATTATGAAACAAAGAACTACTTGAGTACCTCCAGTCCTAATCTGATAGCCGCTTCTGTAAAACTTTTGCGCTCTCTTTCAAAGTTCTTCTTTTGTTCTCTGAACAGTCTCCATTCTTCCTTGAGTCTCTCTTTTTCTTCCAGCAAGTAACAATCCTGTAGCAACATATTGGTATCATCATCACATGGAGAAGTTAGCTGCTGCTGCAGATAGGATATGAAGTACAGAGAAATCAAAAGGGATTATTTGGAAGTTACCTCTCTGGCCACAGTCAAGTTATCTTTAGTTGCTAGAAAAAGTTAATTGAATAATTTTAAAAATTTAACTGGAATAAAGCAAAATATATCATATTAAGCCATAAATCAAAAGAATGTGTAGGATGGACAGGGGAATTCAAAAACTAAATTACTAAGTAAGCAAAAAAGTCTCTATATGAATATTGTTCTCCTAACAGCGAATATGAGAAACACTAGCCCAGTTCCAAGCAATGCAGAGCAGGCAGAGTGGATAATTCATGCAATGTTCCTTTCTTCACCAATATACCAAAATCAATTGAAATTAATTGAACTTGTTTAGAACTTTAGACAAGTTCTGAAGACCACTGCTATGCCAGTTTGTGAGATATGGTTTTCTTCCATTTGTATAAGTGGCAAAGAGCAGGATTTAGATCTAATGTAGATCTCATTTAATCTTGTAAATTTCATCTCTGTTTTAAAACTTGTGCATATTTGAATATTTACCTGTAAAAGCTGTTGTTGAGTTTTTATCATCTCCTTGCACTGCTGAATTTCCAGCTGTAGTCCTTCAACTTCCAGTTCATGCTCGTGCCTTGAGATTGTATCTTTGTCACTCAGAGAGCCAGAATATACATGTGATACTACACATTTGGAAAAGCGCTTGATTATTTTTTGTTAAGCATTTCGTTACACTGTATACTACTTATTCATTAAGCAATTACTTACACAGTATACTGCATATTTACCAACTTTGACATACCCCTTCTTTGATATATAGTTCAGATAGTCCTCAGGTTACAACAGCAATTGGGACTGGAGTTGCTCTTGCTAATGTCACATCGCTGCACCACTTAGCAACAGCAGTCCTGGCAGTTGTCATTAAGCGAGGACTGTGCTGGTTGTTAAGCGAGCACTTTACGTGACTGTGACTTCCGCTTCTTGCCGGCTTCCCGTCTGACTTTGCTTGTGGGAAGCTGGCAGGGAACACTGGAAATTGTGATCCCGTGACCACAGCTCACTGTGACTTCATAATCGCGAACCGGGCACCAAGCATCCGGATAGCAATCATGTGACTGCATGGACGCTGTGACAGCTAGAATTCTGGGGACCGGTCATAACTATCACTTCTTCAGCACTGTCCTAATTTTGAATGGTCGCTGAATGAGTGGTTGTAACCTGAGGACCACCAGTATAGTCAGATGACTGCATTAATTTGTATTTTTACTGAATTTGTTTTTAGAAAACACTATATGGCAGAATTCTACATAAAACATGAATTCATTAAATCATTAAATTCAAGTGTTCTAATCTATTAATCCTCTCAACTGACAGGCCATTAAATTATTTTTAATTGTTTATAGTGGCTGGGATTACATGAGTTTATTTAGTCCCTTTGGAACAGTGCTCTTCGAAAATAACCATGTAAAAAATCCAGTGAAATAATTGGTAAGGCTCTGTCTTAATGAATAAAATCAGATTATGATTGCCTAGCAAACAAACTATTAAAAGAAAAAATGTGCACTGATATCAATGGATTCATTAAGGACTTCCAGCTATAAAAGAGGTAATTTCTGTGACATGTAAAGCAAAACCAAGCAGCAGCCATTCATAAAGATCAAACAATGTAGGAAAAAAACATAAGCATACTCTATGCTTATGTTTAATACTCTAAATCACAATTAAAATCATATTAAAGTTTGTATATCATTTCTCTGCAATTTGTCCTAATTCATGGTTGTCACAACATTCCATTTAACTGACATAAATTCTTTGTAAAAACGGTAATGGGAGCATTATTGTAAATACTTTAAGAATCAGAAAGAAGCTTTACAGGTTCAAGTAATTATGAAGGGAAGCAATTTCTCAAAATAAAAGAGTTTAAAATAGAAAAGTCACTATTTGCTTAAGAATACAGGAAATGCATATCATGTATCAGAAACATTATTTTTTTATTTTAATAATGATATTTTAGAACTATATTATTGTTATCTGAAATACAACTTTCTTCCACACTTTTTATTACATTAATGAATAAATTATATTTTGATTGCTCACAATATTTTTGGTGTTCATGGCACCCAGATCAAATTGTATTAGTCTTCTGTGTAATCAGAAATCAAATAAATGTTGTAGAAAAAAAGATGTCACAAATATAGCTCAAACTAAAGCTTCACCTTGATTATCCAGGCTTTCAACATGATTTTTCAGCATTCTCCACTGTTTTCGAATGCTATTAGCAAGCTGTTCACGCACCGTTTCACAAGAAAGTTCCCACATGTTCTCTTTATTTGCTTCTCCAGAGTCTTCCTCCAAGTCTGACAATACCTGAAAAATTAATGAATTTATTAATTAATAAAAAATGCACCTTTAAAAGCAAGAAGGTCTAAAACTCTTCAGTCTGATAATACAGTTTCACAGCATATATTATTCTCCCTGATGTTAAGATAATTCTGCTGGTTTCATTTATATTTTGTTATGGGTATTTACTGTATGCATTTTTATTTATAATACTATTGTTAGCTTCAAAAATATTTACGTTCAAAATTACAATGATTAAATACATTTAATAATTATTTAAATATCAATGTATTAATTATATCTATATATTTATTTAATATATTACATCAATTACATTCTTGGGAAATCTCTCTTTGTTGACTATCTGTGGGTATTCCTCATACAGCACAGCTAATCACCGACCATTCAATTCATTTAGACCACGTACAAGATACTACAAGCAGCTTTTTCTTAAAAAATCCTTCTCATTCCCTGGCCTGTCACCATCTTCTTGCAAATTAAGTGCCAGAAGAGTTGATTTAACCTGTTTTTCTAACCATGATACATTCAAATCTGGTTATTTACATAATGTTTTAGTACTCATACGCTGAGATAATATATACTTATGGGCAGCTTAAGTATAAAAAGAACACCTTAGCCTTTTTAAAAAATCTACCAGGAAAGTATGAACTATAGAACGTACATGAATTCATTCGCTATAGCCGATTTTCCTATTTGTCTTGTATTTTATTCCAGACACTTGCATCATTCTTATAACCAAAGTACTAGCTCCACCTACTGAGCACAGTTGATAATGACACTACACTCCAATCCTGCATAATTAAATGTACTGAAAGATACTACAGGCAATTAAGGGATGTATTAAGATGATATGATGGAAGGGACTGACAGAACAACAGAACAGCTTTGAAACAAGAACCATGCCCTAAATTAGAATAAATTGTCCATCCACAGCAAGTTATTTGTGAACCAGAATTGTTACTAATTCAGCACCTCCAACACAAATCTATCATTATCCTTACATCTGCATAATGGAACAATATAAAAATGAAACTGTTACAAAGTAACTTATGATTTGGAAAAGATTTTTTATTAACCTCCCAGAATTCCAGGAGTGTAACTCTAAAGATGAATCACTGTCTTTTAAGAGGAAGGAATATAAAACCCTTGCTATTCCTCTCTATGTTTGCATACGAAAAAAATATTTCATTTATTTTAGTATTTAAAGAATTTCTATGGTTGCCCAACTCAAAGAGTGTGACTATAGGTGGCTTACAGGGAAAAAATCCAGTCTAAAATAGAAACAGTAATCAATAATAATGAATCATAGACGACCTGGCTCACATTCACATTCTCTGTCAAAGATATAGGGTTGGACACAGAAAACATTTTATGAAGGTCCCAACACATGGGTGGTTGAACTTCTCAATTGCTAAATTTAAAATCTCTTGGAAACCACCTGTTTCAAATAACTTTAATGACAGTCAGACAGATAGACACTTTATTTTGGTCACTGACCAATAAACATACATTAGGTAAAATAAACAAAGCAAAGTTAACCCCTAACATCAATGACTGTTGGCAATCATTTGTGATTGAAGTTTGCACATAATGTAGCAGAACTTTGGGGTTTTCCTATATTTCTCTTCCAAAACAGCTGTGGGGAGAACATTAAATCGAGCTAAAGATAAGGCTCTCCTGAATTTATGGACTGTGATGTGATACAAATATGAAGCTGGATTAGGCGCTAAGATTTGGTTATTTACAATTATACTGTGAGAGAAAGCAGTAATTTCTGTTTGGCCTGTTTCAAATAACTTTAATGTATTTTTACTGATCATGCTGAAGTGTGCCTTTTATTACTATTGTTCTTAGGGTTTTTTTTACATTTTAATGATTGTATTTTGAATATTACACATTATTAAATCATTTTATTTTTATATTTACAGTTTTTAGCTTCAGTGGTTTGTTCCAAAAAATGGCACACACCCTGAAAAAGGTTCAGACTTACCCAAAATATAACCAGTGAATTCAATTAATCCCTTTAAAACTAGAGTGAAATCACAGATAACAGCAGTAACAGTTCCACAAGATTTAGCAACACACAATTTTGTTTTAAACATATGCTATATACACACTTACCAGCCCACTGCTATCTTCAATCTTCTCTTTAGGCATCTGCTTCTGCGATGAAAGCAAAGAAATTATCTCCTTCTTCATCTGTTGAAGTAACTTTTTCAGTTCAGCATTTTCAATTAGAAGCTGTTTCTGGCGCTGTTCATACTCATTTAAGAGGGTTTTGAACATTTCTTCTTCATTTCTGAAAACAAAACTCTTAAAAGTAATTTAACATGAAATACAGTGGCAAGCAAAAATGAACTTTTTACTGGCCAACTCACTTAGCTTCAGTTTTCCCAGTTCTCCATGCACCTCTCTTGCCATCAATTCTGCCGACATAATTTAAAATATCCATAGCTATAATACAAGGAAAGGAGTTTAAAAAAAAACATGTCTTAAAGATCTTCAATAAAAACTGACTTAAGCGGTGTGAGGAAGAGCTGAGCTCATTGACTGCTACATTTCAAAATTTGAGAGTAACCCAAAACTAAACGAAAATCACCTCTCCTCCCTACACACTAGGAGAGTTTTTTCATTTCCTACCTTCTCAGAACCTTCCTCCATTCGTTCCATAGGATCTACTTTTTTTTTGTTTAAATTAAATCAATGTACTTTTTCATTTACAAACATACTTCTACATACAGTGGATATACATGTATAATGGATGGCTAAATAAGTAAATGTAAAAAGCCAGATCCCATTTTGTTTCAGATGGAGGTGTCTGGGATCAAGCTAATCCACAGCATCTAAGTTGCGTGATGCTATAAGGTCTGTTCTAGGCTGGAGGTTATCATGCAGCACTTTGTTCTGGATACCTATTTGTCCTTAATGATAAGTAACTTCCTCGGTATACATTCCTGAAAGAAGCACTCTGGTTTCCCATCTCTTATCC